CCTCCTTCTCCTCCTCCTTCTCCTCCTCCTCCTCTCTTCTCTTCTTCCATCCATTTAAACTTGTTTTCAGGGAAGATTTGAGGAGTGTGTGAAAAGTTATCACACCACAAATATATTCCGTGGGTCCATTATTCTATAATTGGACACCAGCCTTGAAATGTAAAGAATGTCAATCCCCTGTGACCTCATGGAGGTAGTAGCCCAGAAATCAGAGGGTTTCAGGGAAACTAATTACTTTCTCCTCCACATAAAACTAGGTCTGCATATGGCATCATAATACTTGCAGACATTTATGTCACATTTTATGGTTTTAAAGGAGTTTTATATCCATTATCTCAGTTAGCCCTGTTGGGGCCACCTGTACATTTAACACCCCCTGTAACTTTAGGCCAGGGGGTCTAAGCTTTTTCATAGACTTTGTAGCAGTTAGTAAGCTAGGAGAGAGAATAGCCGATTGTTACCTCTCTTTAAATTGAGCCACAGCCCACTGAAACAAATTATGGTTCCTGGGGGTAGGCTTCTAGAAGGCCCGGTCCTCTCAAAAGTGGAGCTCCTTGATATTTCTTGGTTTTACAGAGAGAAACTTGTTCAGCCTGGCCATCTCTGAACGCAGATGGTGTTTCTTCATGATTTGGTGTAAGTGACGAAGCTCTTTAAGGAAAGGATCATTTAGTTGTCTTAGAAAAGTCTCGTTCCTGCTGATTTACCTATTCGTGGAGTTCTTATTTTCTCAGAAGACTCTAGTGAAAGAGGCGTCGATCTGATGTGAAAGCCAAGTCCCAGTGTCCCTCTGCAGATATATGTTCTCTGAGCTTTCTTACCATCAAGACTCACGTTTGGGCAGTAGCTGGGTTAGTAAGGTTTCTGTCACTGTAACAAATGCCTGGTATAATCAACTGTAATGAGAAAAGTTTTGTTTTAGTTAATGGTTTAGGAGGGTTAGGGTTAGAGTTAACAGTACCACTTTCCAATGTCACCAACCTGGAGACCATGCTTTTAACACACAGGCTTTGAGGGGACACTTGTGATGTAAACTATGGCAGTGGTGCTATCTCCTCTTCCTTTGCCTCTTTGTTCTTCATGGTGCCACCCTTGGTTGCACAGGCAGTGAGAAATAGAACCAGGACTGGGATTCATGGTCTCCCAGGAAAGCCAAGTTTCACTCTCCTTCACCATGAGATGAGGAGTGGTTCAGTAGCAAAAATGGAGGATACTCTTGGGCTGCTGAGTCTCTAAATGAGAGAGGATTTGACTCCAGAATCCTGTGTGGTAATGCTGGCATTTTCCACCAGACTCAAATTCCCTCCAATGAAAGAGAACAAAGTTGCCAGAAACAAAAACTTCAAATTCCTGGGTCTTTCTCCTCTCTGTTTCATGCCCACAGACCTCCCTCCCAGCCTTTGGCACATCAGCCTCACATCCTGTCCCATGACTGGTAAAATTATGATGGCCAAGAAAGAGGGCCATGGGAGCCTGAAACAAACCCGACTTTCCTGCATAATAACATATAAAATATGTCTTCAGAACACAAACCAGATGGGGGAGCATAAGAGACCCAATGCTGAAATGCCTGGGCTTCATACCCAGGGTGAGGAACTTTCTAGAAAAGATTTTGCTTGTATTTTGAGGGTGGCGTGGAGGTTATATGGGCTTGGACCACCCAAATCTCTTGTCACATACAAGTTCATTATTTAAAGATAATTCCTCTGCATTTTTCTCAGATGATGTTATTGCAAATGAGTATTTCTCCACTTAAATTAATGGATTCTCTACAGTGCCAGGAAAGTAGAGGAGAAAAGCTGCCTTCCTAAGCCAGTGAAGACTGAGGAGAGAGATGGGACAAAGTAGAGGGCCAATTATAATCGAGCGTACAAAGTGGAAAAGGTCCCCTGGTACTCAGCATGACAGAAACCACCATCTGCTGTGGCCCACACACAGGGTGGGTTGAACCATACTCCTACCAGGGAGGACAGTGTCATCTTTCCCGGGAGTAAAACTGTTGGCTCGGGCCTCATAAGATTGTCACAAAAAGTGGATTTTGCAAGAAGGAAATTTCACAAGAGTGTTATTTCTGAAAGCGAAGCATGGGGCAGTTGGCCTTCATCTAAGTTTCTACAATGGAATCTTTCATCCTTCTGGTACAGTTTTGTAAGTTGTCTGAAAGTGAAGAAAAGCCTCCTTTAGTGATCGTTGTGTTTGCTGATTTGGGAGAGAAATGATTTTCAGAGCTGTAACATCTTGGCACATGTAGGGACTCTGAAGGGCTCTCTGACTCAACCTCCCATGTAAAGCACACATTTTTCCTTCTGCAGCATCTCAGAAAAATACAAAGTCTGAGGGACAGAGACCTTGTGTTTTTCAAGGTGGCCTTCTCCGTGTGTTAGAAAAACTGTAGCTTTAGAGAGTTTCTTTATGAAACACAACAAAAAATTACTTTCTTGCAATAAATATCAGTCAGTCCTAATTCTGGCTCAGGAACAAAACAGGACAAACCTCCTCTCAGTGCAGCAGCACCTGGGATGTTGCATGTGACTATCCTGTCTCCTTCTGCAGGCCAGACTTTCCTGGATTTCTTAATAGCTCCTCATAAGACCCTTCCCAGAACGATCACCTCTTTTTGTGTTTGTCATTTGTCTCAGGAAGTCATTGATCATTTGCCTTCTTTACATCTGACTTTTAAAACTGGATCGAGTTCTTTGGAACTAGTCTGACCCATTCACAGCAGAATGAAATGTTCATTCCCCTAGCTCTGGAGACCATTTCTAACAAGCAAACATGGGCTTTCTCTGTAATATGTCACATGGTCTCTATTTGAGGTTTCAGTTGCCCGCACACTTAAATCTTACTCTGTGTGCTCTGTGTGTGTTTCTCTCATTTCTGCTGCCAAGTTAGATGTCTTCTCATTTCACATTTATATAATAGATATTTCTGAACCTAAATGTTGTACTTGATGTGAAAGCCTTGTAAAACTTTCCTGTTTTTTTTTTTTTTTATTGCTGCTTTTTTCCAACTCTGGATAACTTTTTGAATTTTTCTATTTCCATTCAATATATTGTTGTTTCCAGCCATTTAAAAATCATTGCAGATACATGTTTCCAGGTCCTGGTCTCCTGATCTGACCTAATTGTAGAATAGCAGTAGTCGTCTGCAAGAGATTGTTACGACATTTACACTATGATTTACTTGGTGATTTAGGGCAGTGGTTCTGAAAGTGTAGCCCCGGATTAGCAGTGTCAACGTCACCTTGTACATGTGAGAAGTACAGATTCTCCAGTCCCACTCCAGATCGACCGATCAGAAACACTGGGAGATGGATCTAACAAATGGTTCTGACAAACCCTACAGGTGATTCTGACACCCACTCAAGTTTAAGAGTCATTAATCTAGATTATTGGGACTGTAGGAAAAATACACAAGCGCTTGGTGGACTTTTGGTCTGTGTGAGGTGCCAATTTATGAACAACCCAACCAGACATCCTCATAACAAGGACTGATGTGTCTGTCACAAGGGAACATCTCTTCTGGGCTGTTTGGCTAAAGGACTAAAGCTGAGGTGAGGACTTGGGCTCAGTAAATGCAGAAGCAATGTTGCAAAAACAGGCAAGACTGATGCACAGAGGTGGAGAACAAAGCATGAAACATCAGACCCAAGCAAAGGAAAGAAGAGAGGAGTCTGGTTGACCCTGAGCATTCAGGCATTGCTACGTCTCCGGGCAGGATTTGAAACAGTTGAGCATGTAACAAAGCAGGGTCTCATACCTGTTTCTGTTTCCACAGGCCCATCTGCTAAACATCCCGAGCTGGAACTGGAAAGAGGGTGATGATGCAATCTGCCTTGCGGAGCTGAAGTTGGGTTTCATAGCCCAGAGCTGCCTGGCTCAAGGCCTCTCCACGATGCTCGCCAACCTCTTCTCCATGAGGTCATTCATAAAGGTAGTGTCTTGTCTAGTTAGAGCACATTAGCCCAGGGTTCCATTTGTCGTGGGGTTGAGGAGAGAGCACAGTTTAAACTCAAAACAGATCGATGGTCTTTAACCACTTTGGTTAAGGAGAAATTCCTTGGTACGGATTTGGGCATGAGGCCAGCTCCTTTCAAAATTATGTTTTTATTTTTATTTGGCACATCCACGGCCATTAAATGATTGTTCAAAGCACAATCCTCATTTTTTTTTTAGATAAACCACATGTTTATCTATCAACAAAGCCTCCGCTGTTAAAACAAAAATATGATTTATATACATTCCATATGGTACTGGAGCGCCTAAAGAAAAGAATTATCATTTTGCTCTTTTATATCAAGTGGCTGGTGGACCTCTCACTGTGTGGATAAATGCAGACCATGTGTTTGTGCTGGAGCCCAAACCCTAACAACATAATTCATTTATTTATTTCTGCACAATCAAGGAGGCCAGCAAGGCTGACATGCCATGGCTATTTGAATGTAGAATGACAGGATGAACCGAGTCCTTTACCCTGGAAAATGGGCAGCCTGGATGTATTCATCTCCTTGTCAGCTATCACCTCGTAGGGCAGCCACTCCATTGTCCCTAAAGTGGCCACTGCCTACTGGACCAATTCAAACAAGGAGAGACCAGACCAACTCTATTCTCACAGGCCTGGTCTCATTAGGCATTTTCAGAGCTTTGGATTGAGGAGCCAGGCCCCTATTAAGAAGGGCTCTGGAGACAATAGTAATAATAATAGGACAATAGTAACTCTAGTTCTTGTCTGTAGGTTGCTCTTAGCTTAGGTCGTCAAAGTTGCAAACCAGTGCAGTCCAACTTGTCTGGTTTAGGCCTTTCTTATTTGGCGTGGGTGTCAGTTAGCTGCAGATCTGGATTTACATTCTCCTTCCTGCTACATGGCCAGTATAGGTTAGTAGTGGTCAAGATGGGGAAATGCATGAGCCACCATTAGGTCCTGCAAAGGGGATCAGAAACTCTGAAATCAAAGACTTGAGACCATATGCTGCCAGGGCTGCTGGATCCATTGCCAGCAAGTTGCCTGATAAAGTCAAGGAAGTGGTCTTGGTTGTGATCAGAAGGGGGCTCAGGAAATAGGAGGAGAGCAAGGGGATGCAGGTGTGCTGTGCTCACTCTGGGCATGTGTGAATGGTGTTACTTAGAGCAGGAGATTTTCTAGGTCCTTACCCTTTGAACCCACGTCATTGGGAAGATGTAGCCAATATTTGTTTAACATTGCTCTACCAGAGCAATAAGTTGTGCTGGAGCTCCTCCAATCATTTTAGCGATACTCATGGTAATTGATACCTTGGTTTAAACTTCTTTCTCCTGTATTTATTATGTGTCCCAAGACCTCAGCTCAACTGAAATCTGAGCTCAGACCCCACTTGCAAATAAGGACATTGCTTTCCTTTAAATGTCTTCTTTAACCGGGGCTGCCATTGTCCTGCGTGGATGAGACTGAATGAAGACAAAATGTAAGCAGCAGGGAGGTCTGTGTGGCTGTGTTTAGAGACAGGCTCCCATAACCAGATGTGGCCGCATGTCTCTCAGGACTCCTCTGTTCAGTGCGAGGAGTCCAGAGTCAGGATAAAGGACTGTCACCATAACTCCTTTCACTCTTTCATCCAAGCCCCAGTGGTTTCTTGCAGCAGGAGATTGCTCCTAGGACCAAACCATGTGGTCTGAGGAGATGGGCTCTGCTTCCTCATGTTGATGTGACATGGGCCTTGGCAGGGCCCCACCACAGATGGGGCCACTTGACATGCGTATGTTTTGATTTTGTGGTGCCTGCGTGGTAACTGGAGCTGCCTGTCAAGAAAATTAATAAAGTGGATGTGACATTGATTCTTCAGTGCTCTTACAGCAGGGAGAACTTCTGCCCAGCTTTCCTTAGGACCCTGTTGGGCCTCACCTCTAAAGCCAAGGACATCCCCTCCAGCTTCACTAATCCCATTGCCAAGTTCCTGTTTAGGAAGAGTCTGTGGGAAAGGCTGGACTGGGCCTTAGTGTAAGTGAAAACACATTTCCCTCTCAGGGTTATGTTACTGCACTATTTCTGTCCAAGGCCAACTTCTCCATGTTTGAAAATAGCCATCTGAATGTGGCCTTTTGACACTGAGGTGGTCCTTGTGTTGGAATCCACTAAGGTGCATGATCTGCAAATAACAAGGCTTCCCTTCATGTTTTCATTTTTTTTCCATTAGACTAAAGATAGCCTAATTCATGTACTCCCCATTCTGTATTATCATCTTTGTGTACTTACCCTGCAAGTCCCAGACCCTTGCCTCTTTTAGGTCATGGTGAACACCAGTGTGATGTTTTCCTTGGTATATTTTATATATTATCTCCTATTCCAGAGCTCACAAAGCCCTTACTTACTTTTGATGGGGCCAGATGGAGAAAGAAATCTGTAAATGGATTATTATTATTCATAGAAATCACTTCCTTCACCAATGACCCCATAGCTTACTGTGGAGAATTCAGCAGGACTTCCTTGGGGACAGGACTATTAGGATGGAGTGTGAGGAAGCAGGCTTTGGAAGGATTTGATCCTTTGGGAACACTTAGCATTTCTGGAAGCCAAAGGTAAAGCGTGAGCTCCCCGTCTCCATTTCCCTGGGAAGATAATGTTTATTTCTTGGTTCTGTAGAATATATCATATTCTCCCTCTGCTCAAGGAAGGGCAAGCAAGTCTGTAACAAAGAAGGTATCTCGCAGGCAGTGAGATGAGTGTACTGCTCTTTTTATTATACATGGAACCAAAAAGCTAAGACCAAAGGGAGGTTGATAAAGTTTAATAAAACATAGAGAAACTCTTGCCATATAGGAATTACAAAAGAAGCCCAGCCAAGAACTATGAGGAAATATGGGAAATACTTGTTTGTACCCTCAACCAATGTTGTTCTCAAAGATTTTAACCTTAGGGCACCAAGTCATTGCACCCTAAAACCTACTTCTCATATTGATATGTTATCTCTAAGTTGATTTTGAGAATTGATTTATATTTTTAACTCTACTCTTTAGAAGGAACGAATTCTTTATGTTTGGGGACTACTGTTAAAGATACTGTCTTCCTGGCTTTTTAATCCTTAATTTACTCCATTTAAACTTCAAGGCATGCTTTGTATTGTTTCTGATATGCTGGAATTTACAAATCCATGCTAACTTTCTCTCCAGTACTTTTAGGAAAGAGGCTGAGGTTGGCAACCCAAGGGTCCTACAGCTCAGTAGCTTCTGCTCATGACACAAAGTGGTTTGTGCTGTGGGGTCTGTTTATCCTTGAGTCCCCTTGAGGAGAGCAGGCAGATGTCCTGGAGTCTGTGTCTTAACTACATTATGAATAGGCCTGGAACATCCTGCTTATTTATCACTCTCTGATCTCCTTCCACTGGCCTGACAGGTTCCAGTGAGCATCTCCCTAATGTCTTCTGTAAAGACCAAGACAAAGAACTTATTTGGCCCTGTCTGGCATTGCCCCATCCTTGAGTAAGTGGCCACATTTACTCTCTACTTGGTTTCCTCGCTTGGATGTAATTTAAGATCATTGATTTTCTTATTTTTGTTTTTTAGTTTTACTGTGTATACTTAATTTTATCTTCAAGCACATGGGCTTTCCAATTGGGTCTTGACCTGCCTTTTTGAATGGTGCTATTATTCCTACTGGATTGAATTATCCTTGGACATAATAATTTGCGTGTGTGTGTGTGTGTGTGTGTGTGTGTGTGTATGTAAAACTGTGAGAGTGATTTACTCTTCACGTTATCTTTCATTCTGCTTATAGACTACTGATTAGCACATTTAAGTAGTTCTCAGAATTGCCAACTGTTTTTACCTCTGCTGATCTATCATTTTATGTACACGTGTACACATACATGCATGTACAACTTGGAACACGGTATTCCCTCCATAGTTATTTCTTTGTTAAAGAGAATGGAGAAAATATGTGCTGTGTTTCATGTATTTTCTTCCCTGTGCCACAAGATTTGGGCTATATGGGCGAAAAGTAACAATATCAATCACAACTACAGCTTTCTCTTTTACTTTTTCGACTTTTGAGTGAAGAAGCACTAGGAAACTCTGGCTTGTGTTATTCAGATTGTTGGCTGAAGTGGGCGTGGTTGGACACACAAACCATTCGTTCATTGTTGCTGTTACCGTATTGTAAACTTTACATAGTCCTAGGACTAACTGTAGCCAAGGGAATAATTTTGTTACCTTCAGTTTGGGTTATACTTATGCATATATGTGTGTTTGTGCATGTGTGTGTAAAAATAACCTGGTTTAGGAGCTGAAAAATGAATCAAGAATCTTTAATAATTCCTAAAATATGCTGAATCCTATTGTTGTGCTAAGCTTTGTACTTAATATTAAATGTCCATCATCTCATTTACAAGGTCCCTAAGCAAACTGTTATTACCTTTACCCCACAGTGGCAGACACCATAAATTATGTAGTAGCTCTTTTTCATTTGTTTGTTTGTTCATTTCTAACAGGGGGGCAGATCAAACTTGGGTTCTTGCATTTGCGAGGCAGGTGGCAGAACCACTGGGCCAAATCCTCAGCCCTTTAGACACCATGAATTAAAAAAAAGTGCAGCAACTCAGAGGAGGACATACAGCTTGGAGTTGACAAATTAAAGTGTTCAAATCCAAGCAAACTTGTTCCTGGTTTGTCCTTGACTATACCAAGAGGAAATAAATGATGAGAACAATTCTTATCAAGCATCATAATCCTAGCACAGTCCTTAGTTTTCTGGCACTCATTTTATGGGAGCTGTTGATTCAATAGAGATTTCACAGGCACCAACAGTATTCCAAACAGTGCTCACCCATCCCACTGTCCTCACAGAGAGGAGGAACCCAGGAGCTTCAGAAAAGTTTTGATCCAACCGGGATATGAGGGTGCATGATCTCAGAGCCCGAGCTACAGGTCTTATGCACCTTTCTCTCTTGCATCCCTGTAGGGGCG